CCTGACCCACACCCACTGAGTTAGAGTCAGTGTTGTAAAGATTCCCAAGTCATTCCTATGCCCATGAAAGTCTGAGAAGTACTGCTTTAGGGAAACGTTCAGTCCCCCTGGTGTGAGTGGTTAAAGGGCCCCAGTGCACACAACAGTTGACATGATCGTGGCAGATGTCTGACTTCTTGCGTGTTGGCTCTTTCTCTTTAGATTGTCAAAATGGATGTTTAGAATCATTTCTGTTTTCTTGAGTTGGCGGTGTGGGGGCAGGGGAATAGTCTTTCAAACAGTCTTTTTAGAAATACATTCTTAGAAATGCTACTTTATGGGCTTTTTAAAACTTCAGGAACCATATATCGTTGATTTAAGTAGCCTCAACAGACTGTAAGGTCAGTTATTTAAAAGAAATTTAATGGGGACAAGTGATTCAATGTCCTTTGCTATTCCCAGGGACTGGAATTTGGAGATGAAGTTGAGATTTTGTAGAGGATTTCAAGTGTGGTTGCTGTACAAATTGTAATAGTGCGCTTGTTGAAAGTCTAAAGAGAAAGAAAGGAGAAGACGGCTTTCGTTGTACAGTTTGTGCAATAACTAAAGTACAGTAAATCCACTAGCAGCCTGCTACCCTCACACATAAACTGTTTGTATTTTTCTGTACTCCTTTACCACCATCATCTGTCAACATACAAAATTTTCACATAGTTATATAATCATGATACAGATGCAACTTTGTAGTCTGCTTTACGTCATTTAACATATTACCCTGCTCCCCAGCTCCTCCTCTTCCCTCCTTATCCAGCTGTTCTGCCGTCTTCTTCCTTCTCTTTCCTCTCATCCCTTACCTCCCTGGCTGGCCTCCCTAGCTTGGATCTCTGGTTCATCTTGGGCCCTCTACCACATTATTTCTTATTTAAGAGTGTACAGAGATTTTCCACTGCATGCCTGAGCATCAGTTTGATATTCCTCAGTTCTCAGTTCTTCCTGGCTTGGCTAGCCCAAACACACGTTGCTTATTACCTTCTCCCCTATTACCTCCTCCGAACCAGGTCCCTTTCTGCCGAGGATCAGCTCTTGATGCATCTGCTGTGTGAAGCCATCTCTGGTTTCCCAGGGGCCTCAACAGACTTCTTGCAGTCACCATCTACCTTTATACAATGGAACCTGACTTAATGGTTTCATAAATGGGGGCTTACTGCTCTGCTCTTGTTTCATTTCCCTACTTGGCAGATGCTCAAGAATGATAGCTGCAGAGAACCCTGAGCAGCTTCATGCTAAGTTTTGTTGGCAGAGGAGTCATCAGAGGACAGACATGTTCTTATGCTGAGGATGGAAATGACTAGAGTTGAGGCTATACTACTCTGAGCCCTAGAGCCAGAGCCCCTGGGTCACCTCTGCATTTTGAGTCTGCCAGGGGTTACTGTATTTTAGACTGTGGCAGACTTTGGGTCAGTTTACTTGTTTCCATGAGTTGTCCAGTTGCTAAGAAGTTTGAGAGATTAACTATAAAGAAGATAACTGATATTTTCAAAGGGAGATGCTTTTAAATTTTTGAACCAAATTAAGAAACTTAAATTGGAAATGTTGTGTAGGTACTGATAGAGAAACGTGTAGGGTTAGGGTTAGGGTTGATGTAGAAAGCATTTAAGCTGAGACATTATTCAAATAGATATCCTTAGAAGGAGAAGTCTCACTTCATCATGTGCTCGTTCCCAGTTTTTAGTATCTTCGGAGTGTCTAGTTTGTGCTTGGCTAAAGGTTATAAAGAATATCCTCCCATAAAAAGGGTCAAGTTCCTGTCCAGCATCAGGTGTGAGTTTGAGAAGCAAAGATGGGCTTTACTTAGTAAAATCAGGCTTTGTGTTTCAGACCTTTCAACTTACTGAGTGTTATCCTGTGTTGACAGTTAACTTCTCAGACTTCCTGTCAATGTAGATCGAAGAGGTAGAACAGAATGGGCATGTTTGGAGAGCTGGGATCAGGAAGCCATTAGAAAGAGGCTTTTTGGGGTAAAATGTTTTTGAACACAAATGGCCGCAGATAAGAGTGATCGTGCCTACCAGTTCACCTAGGACTGTCTCTGTTCAAGCTTGCTGTCCTGGTATGATTATTAATATTTGCCCCCTTTCTCTCTCAAAAGTGCCTTCGTTTGGATGATAACTTATGTGGTCATCTACTAAAAGCAACACACTGATAAAATACTTTGTGCCAGACACTGTACCAAATGCTTTATGTAATCCTTGCAAAACACCTGAAAGGTAGCTGCTGTTGCCGCTTTACAGATGAAAAGATGCTCAGAAAGGTTTAGTAACTTGACCAAGATCACACGGTGGCAGACCTGGTGAGTAAAGCAAGGTCTATCAGACTTTTAAAGCGACTTAATTTTTCCCAGCCTGCCACACCAAGGGGTTAACAGGGTCTTCTATTAATTTGAGGAACTAGTGAAAGAATCCTACAATGGTAGTGCAAGCCTTTACCTAAAAGAAACAGTGGAATGGAGAACGTCTGGATAAAGATAAAAAGGTGATGTCTTAGTGGAAATGCTGGGATTAAAGGGAGAGAGTTACACTGTATTTAGATCTCCAGGCTCCTAGATGCTTGTAGCCATTTGTTTCTAAATGGACTTAAACTGATGTGCTGCTCAGGCCTGGGGTCTTTCTGCTTGGGTTTGGAAGTTCATGGTAGTTGTATAGATCAGTGCTACTCAAACTTCTATGTGCATTAATATCAACTGGGAGTCTTGTTAAAATGTAGATCAATTCCATAGGTCTCAAGTGGAGTCTGAGATTCTGTGTTTATAACAAGCACCTAGTGATGCTGATATTGCTGGTCTGCCACACTGTAGTTTGGGTAGCAAGAGTATAGTTGATTAGATTCTCTCTGCCTGGGGCATGAGGGTACCCATATCCACAAATGCCCTGATTTTAGATGGGGAAGGGAGGAACGATTGCTTCTAGTTGTAGGTGTGCTCACATTGTGGTGGAAGGGACTACATAGATAGCTGGTGTAGGTGGGGAATAGGTACTTAAATATGGATTTTTTAAAGGAAGCATTGTGTTTTTATAATTAATACATATGGATTATTTTTAAAGTATATCCTTAGCTTAGGGGAAAGGGGGACAGAGAAGCAGGAGGGAGTGGTCTGGGGTGGGGGCGACACCAGCATGGGTGAGTTCTTGCTCAGCCTGTGCAGTGGTGAAGAAGGCTTTGATAGACACAGACAGGGAGCAAGCAGAGTATCTACAGCCAGACAGGAATAATGTGGATGGATGACACAGCAGCAAAGCTCTTAAAAAAAAAAAAAAAAAAAAAAAAGCCAAGGGGAGGAGTCCCTCCCACAGACTGGCCATTTTCCCCCTCTAGGCTATGCCTGAGTGCCTGTGGACAGAAGGGTGTACTCAGGAGGCTCTGGCCAGCTGTTCCTGTGGATAACAGCATTATCCTCCACTCTGCCCACTTCGTAACCCTGTCCTGGGCGGTCCCAGGTGGGCATGCTTCCCGTATCTGGTTACTTCTTCTTGTAACATGGGAAAACAAGCAGGGTGGAGTGCTGCCTACCTGGTCTAGGTGCGAGCAGCCTGCTCGCTGAAGCTGGGACCTTCGCTTTACCCTCCTTTCTGAGGAAGAAGCCTTGTGACTGGAGGGCATGTTGGAAAAGGACTGATGCAGGAGAGTATGTTGGCAGACAGGAAATGGCAGTTTCCAGAAGCTCTGGGCAGAGCTGGACTTGGTGCTGGAGCTGTGAGTGGTCACCGAAATAGGGCTTTGGTCCTGGGCAGCACCCCTGAGAAGGGGGCCTGGGCAGCCAGAGGCATCAGTGATCCTTACAGCTGGCCAGTGTATCCTGAGTGCTCCTGGAAAAGCAAGAGAAACAGTATTGACAGAGACAGGTGATGTGAACTCCTGCACATGGGGTTTCTGATAAGGCATAGTCCTGCTTCTGAGACTGTTTCTCTTATTTCGGTTTGTCAGACACTGTTTTGGGAGTGTTTCCTCAGTCTGTACCTACACTTGCAGGAGGGAGGAGCTGGTCCTGCTGTATCTGCTCGTGATTGATGCCCATCCTTTTTGGGGTGAGGGAACTTGGGAGCAGGGAGTATCCTAGTCAGGACAGATCTTACTCTGGCATGTGGGTTGCCCAGTGACTCCCCCTCCCCCTGCCGAAGCTGACCCCCTTTCTCTGATCAGCTGCTCCTGACAAGCCTGGAGCACCAAGTGTTGTTCCCCAGGGTCTGAGTGTATTTCTGAAGGTTGTCCCATCCTCAGTGGTAAACAGTGCTGTGTCAGGGTACTGCTCAGGGGCCACTTGGAGCACATAGATTTTTGCTAGCAGAATTGTGAAGCTTTGCATCGGGCTGCAAAACCAGGGCTTGAGCAAGCAGCTGGAGAGAGTCCAGGACTAGAGTGTTTTTGGGTTTGGGGGGTGGAGAGCAGAGGGAGGGAAAGGGAGGGGCAGGAGGGCAGAGCTACACAAGCAGGCAGTCTGCTGCTTTGGCTTTGCTGTCGGCAGAGAGGACTTCAGTCGTGCCTGAGGGCCGCTTGGCCACTATTGCTGTAGACCGGAGGGCGCTGCCTCGCAACCCTGACTTACCGGCACTGCACCCGGACTGTTCCAAGTAGCTGTTGTGCTGTCTTTTCCCTGGGAGGCAAGTCTCCTCCCTGTCGTCCCCTCCTGCTCCTCCCCCGTTCTGTGAGGGATGATGCCGCTCTCTATTGCACGGCTCAGCCGGCTGATGTCACTGGCAGCGGGAAGCATCAGCAGCCTGATCACATGCTGGCCCAGTCTGTAATGCAGACGGGATAGGGGTGTGTATGTGAGGAGGGGGGCTGTATGGCAACTGCTCTTCCTCTGATACCCCCAAAAGTGCAGGGGCAGCGGCTGCAGCATCCAGCCAGCTTGGATGTCTGGTCCTTGAGCCTAAGGAAACTATTATTAATATTATTTATTGTTGATAATACTGGGGAAAACAGCCCTTAACTCTGGGGTTCTGCTGTCCTCCTGTCCAAAGCAGACTTCCAGGACTCTGAAGAAACAGTTACAAGCAGGATGCTTTTCCCCACCTCTGCGCAAGATTCTTCCCGTGGCCTCCCAGATGCAAATGACTTGTGCCTTGGCCTGCAGTCCCTCAGTCTCACAGGCTGGGACCGACCCTGGAGCACCCAGGACTCAGATTCTTCAGCCCAGAGCAGCACACACTCAGGTGAGTGCCAGAAAATGAGTTGGCTTGGGGTGGTGGTGGTGGTGTATGGGGTAGTGAGTGAAGATATCCACAGCAACAGTTGTTCTGTTCACCTTTGCATCTCCCCCCCTCCCCATACAACATGGAGCTGTTTTGCAAAAGATGGAAATGCTGGCTGTGAGTGTGGCAGGACAGATGGTTGCTTGTAAAAGCAGGCATGGCTTTTCCACTTACCCTGATAAATTCCCTGGAGTTGTTAGTCTGTACCTGAGGTGGCCCCGAGAAGGGTCCACAAGGTGACAGTCTTATGCAGAAAAGATCCAGCTAACCCCCTAGTGCCCAGGCCTGTCTTGGAGATGATGAAGCAAAACACTTTTAGGTGGGGGAGGGGACTTAAGGGGCTGATTACTGGATGTCCAGATTCTATTTCTCAGTGGCTTTTAAAACTAGAGAGCTATGTGTGAAGGATGGATGGTCCCTGAATCATGGCAAGGGAAGAATTTTAACCATAAGTGAGGCTGGGTAATACTGGGATATTGGAATTGGCTTAACATAAGGTTAAGAGCATTGATCCTGGAAAGGGGTAAGCAGGGTAAGTGGGGTGGAGTAACTCTCAGCTGCGGAGGCTTTTTTTTTTCTTTCTTTGTGTTAAGGGTGACCAAGTAGATGAAGGAAGAACCACTCCCCTTTAGGATCCCTTGTCATCTTGGAAGGATTCGATGGGGACAAGTTGAAGGGGCTTCTTGGCAACCCCTTGAACTGCTTCTGCTCAGACCTTCCCATTGCCCGTTTATTTCCCTCCTGTGGTTCAAGGGGGAGGGTTGGCCAGATGCAAGGCTTGGAGTATTCAGGAAGAAATGTGAACTTAAGAAATACTGTAACTATACATAAAAATCTATGTATTTCGCTTTATGTAAATTACACCTTAATAAAAAGAATATTGGCAGCAGGTACTTTAAAAAGATGGAAAGGGGGGGTGGGGGCGGCCATTTGCTGTTGATGCTGACAGTGGGGTTCACAGAGCCTGCCATCCTTCCTTGCCTCCCATCTCCAGAAGCTGGCAGTCATGGCAGCAAGGTACTGTCTTGTTGATTTCTCTGGCCTCCACCCTGTTTGGCGCAGGTCTTTTTTTAGAATGCTTTGCAGAGCCTGGGACTGTTGTGTCTGTTGGCATTTTAATGCCCGGTTTTTTGGTAAATCCCATTTGATTGGGGGTAGAGGGTGGATTTTTTTTATTTGGCTGCGAGTGGGGAAGAGCTTCACCTTAGTTGAGTTGAGGTAGAATTTCTTGAAGTACCAGCCTTTAGCTGACTCAGGTTTTTCCCTGGGCTGGGAAGTGTGGTGTCACTGTTTGGTATCCTGTGCCTGGAGATCTTGGCATGGAGGTAGTGGTAGTTTCTTTTATGTGGTATTACGAAGCCAGCCGGGGGGGGGGGGCCTGTGAAGCTGACCTTGTCCCCACCCTCACTGCTATATCTGAGCAAAAGACAGGGGAGCCCACCCAGGAGGCAGGCACGTGTCTGTGGTGATCAGTGTTTGACCAAGACAGTGTCTCTCACTGGCATCACGTTGGGTGTGGCCCTTATTTGGCTCTGGTTTCTCTTAGCTGCAGGGTTCCTTCTGAAATGTATTATAACAAATAGAAATGCAGGAGGGGCCAACTTGGGGCTTGGAGAGGGCCTGAAAGTCATTCTGAAATTAGGCTGTTAAAAAAAAAAAAAAAATAGTTTGGGCCCAGCCATAATTTCCTCAGTGTCCCCACCACCTGAAAGGCCTGTTTGTAGTTATTTGTCTCTGAAGTGGGGGTGGATTTACTTCTCCATGTTCTGTGTCAGGCACTTAGGTAATAAACACTACATGATTTTTTGGATCAGGGAGGGCCTGTAATCTGTGGCCCTGGCATTCATGGGAACCCAGAGAGTTGCCCCAGAGGTGTGACTTAGCCAAGGGCAGGGTTAGTGTGTGTATGTCTTCCTTTCCGAGGGTTGAGGGCGCAGCCATCCCTGATCCCCACGTTATCCTTGGGAGCTGTGGTGATGGCCATCTCTCTCCTTTCTCTGAGCTCTGGGCCTTCTTGGAAAGCCCACATGAGGGTGCCGCCTCCTGGAGTAGGACGCAGCCCTCCCACCAGCCAGCTGCACCCTTGCCAGCAATGCAGGAACATGCAGCCCACATTCCAGTGCCTACACTGCCTCCCCATCTGAAGACCAACTAGCTCAGTTTCTTCAGGGAGGGAGGAGGTATTTCAACAGCTCTGGACAGTCTGGGAGTCATCACTGCAGACAGCCTGGTAGCTTGCTGTCTCTGCATGGAGCGCCTGGTGCAAGCTTCTTCCTTGGCCCTGCTGGGGGATATATTGCCCCATGTGGCTATGGGTTTACATCTGACCATTTTCCACAACTCTTTAAGTTTTCAGCAATGTGTAGGGGGCAAGGTTGGAGATAGCAGGGCTCTTGCCTGAAAAATCTTGGCTAAATTCATTCAACAAATACTTGAGCACTGGCTGTGTGCCAGGCACTGAAGATACATCAACGAATAAAATTATTGCCCTTAAAAATCCCCTTAACTATCAAGGGGAAATAGAACGAATACCAAATGCAGCATGATAGTTGCTGTGCTTGGGGGCTTTCATTTTCTCCCTTAAGGATTTTTTTTGCATTGGGGCAACATTTCATTGGATTCTCAGCATGAGACTGGTACATGGAGACCTGTCTCCAGGGGCTAAGGTCCTTCTGCTACATGGATTTCATTGGCCTGGGAGGCCTGCAGGAAGACCCTGGGGTGTAATCTGTTTTCGAGAGTTGTGCCTGTAAGGCCAGCATTGGTTTGGGTGTGGTACTCTGTGAGGTTCCTCCCTTCGACTCTGCCTACCCCTAAGGCCTCATCTCACGCTGGGAAAGGAGGCCTTCCTTCCCATCAGGGCAAGATGAATGTTAGAGGTGACCCCAGTGACATGTGTCTGGGGCTACCTTTGTCTTACTTGCAGTGTCCTAAGTCTTGTAATGGAACAGGAGGGCTATGAAAGCTATCCTCAATGTCCTGGGATGGGGGAGAGAGTGACTAATCACCATTTATCGACTACTTCCTATGTGAAGTATATCACATGATTTAATGCTTTCACAGTCCTGTGAAATGGGTACTATTATTGTTCCTATCTGAAAGATGAGGAAATAATGCTCACAGAGCTCGTGAAGTGCCAAAAGTGAAACAACGACCAGAATTCGAGCTTGGGTTTCTTTGATTCCAAGCCTCTTATGCTTCCTATCACACCTGTGTTCCTGTGGGCAGAACCCTAACGTGCTGAGCAAGAACACTTCCGGGAAGGTATCTCTGTATATACAACTCCAGGGCTGTTCAGCCATGATGTTTTCCTTTGCTGAGGGTCCCTCAAGGCTAGGGCACGAGACAGTTCTGACTCCCTCTTCACCCTGAGTCTCAGCTCATCAGCTGTGCCCCCCCCCCCGATGCATTTGTGTTCCTGCCTTCCCCCGGTGACTCTTGCATGCAGCATTACTCAGCAGGAAGTGGGGTGACTGAGAACCTACTTTAGGGGACCTGGAAACAAGGACTCCTAATGAAGGCCTTGTGCAGAAGCCCAGTGGGCAGACCAGACGCTCAGTCTAAGGATGCCAGAGGACGTGTCCTGTTTCCTCCCACTTTCCTTAGAAGTCCCTTGGAGATTAACCTGTTCACCCTCTTTGATTTCTGCCCTAACCAGTGAAGAATATGTTCCCTGTGCTTTGTCACTTACAGGCTCCCCATTGGTCTGCAGGCTGAATCAGCCTGGGATGAGAGGGGAGTCTTCAGCATTTTGCTTCTGCTTCAGCATTTTGCTTCTGCTGCTGCTCTACTTCCAAATAACCTTTCTGAGGCAACGTTCAAAGTAGGGTTGGGTTCCTTCTCTGTGGAACATGGACTTCTGGGCCCAAACAAGTTCTCCTGCAAATCTACCTCAGCTGTCCAAGTCTTCACTGCTTATATTCCCAGTATGTAGCACAGAGCCTGGCTCCTGTCTTTTTAGTAAGTATTTACTGAGTGAATGATGAGTGCTGAGTTAATTCCGGGTAAGTTTGAACTACAGAGTTCAGACAAAGTCTCTTTCTCTTCTGCTTCCTACTTGTGTTGATCATCTGGACGGACCGATGGTTCAGTGATCAGTATCTCTGAGCCCTCATAGCTTTTAGGGCATGATGATGCATTTACAGAAAGTTTTTTTCATACACCGGAGCATGAATTCTGTCACGGAGTCAGGTAGTCTACTGAGGAGAATAGCTTTTAGTGCAGAGAGGAGGGAGGGCCTGAGGAGCAGTGTGACAACGTGGTACCTCCTAGGTGAGAAAGAAGTTGAGGTGGTTGGGTCCAGGGACCGAGTATTGCTGACCTTACATGGGACTTGAGCATGTCATTTCTTCAGGTTAATGAAACTTGTCCAGTGATCAAGATCGGGGAGGAAGGCTAGGTCGGGTACCACCTTGGACCTGTGGGATCCAGAGTTGGTGGAGGGAATTCAGACTCGCAGGATCACCGCCTGAGTTGGGGTGTGTTGTAGAGTTGCAGGGTTGGGGTCATAGGCAGAGAGCGTTGTTATACCTGCAATGAGTGCTCCTCACTTATGCCTTTAGGTAGATTTTGAGCAGGCAACCCAGGACCAAGGGTTGGGATAGAGAAGAAGGGTTCCAGGTGCAGCCTTGTGTCTCGGGCTGGAAATAATGGCTCCTGGTCTGGGTTTTTCCCATGATTACTCCTGTTAGACAGACTATGATGTCTCAGGCCTGGGCTCTCCCTGAGCTGAGCTCAAGCTCAGTGTCTTGCAGTGCAGGCATCTGGTGCCTGGCTCCTGCTGCCATTGCTGCTGCCGCCATCACTCTTGGGTGCCTTTGTACTCTTGGGAGGCTTCAGAAAATTCCAGCAGTGACTCAGCTGTAAAACCCACAGGAGCTGGCACAGAAGGGTGAAAGTGGAGAAAGTTAACAATCAGTCTAAAAATATTACTGCTGATTTGGTCTCTTGTACCCTCTGAG